CAATATATCGGTAATGTATTAAATACATCTTATCGGTATTAATATTTGACAACGCACCTTCGAATAATGTAAATTCATTAGTCATCTGCAATATCGATAAATTGAATACAGTTTAGTTTCGACTGCCCACTGATAATTCGGTTATTATTTCGTCACTGTAGCCTATACCTATAAAAAGTCTTTTCAAATTTCAGTCTTTGACAAAATGTCGTGAGGGGAGAATCGAGAGTACGATATGAAGATCGTTTTAACGCAGAGTTATTGCGTTACAATGTGACTTAAAAATAATTTATTTTTAACTGATCAGCGATATTATCAATTAATAAAAGATGATGAGTGCGCAATCAAAAAACAAAAAAAAAATGTACCCCGTGACTATTGGTTACGTAAAAAATATGATGTTTTGGCCGTTAATAATAACAGTTAGTTAATTTATCCTGTTAAAAGTATTGATAACCATATTTCATATTATACCAAAGAAAGTGATGTTTTTGATGTATTGCATAAAACTCACCAATCGTTAGGGCATGGATGACGAGATAGAATGTTGTATGAACTTAATAGCTTAAAAATATCTTGCGCTTTGAAGTTGACCTTTTTCTGTTATTATGTGAACCGTGTCAATTAAGACACAAACAAATTAGAAAAGGATTAGAGTTGTGAAACCCATTATTTTTGATGAATTTGATAGTCGCTGTCAAGTTGATTTCATTGATTTTCATTTGAATGCTCATAAACTTTTTAAATTTTACAGGTATATCAGAACCATTTAACTAAATATGTCTTCATAAAAACATTTAAAACAAAAATTACAGAAGAAGTGGCTTATGATTTAATTGATATTTTCATTTTGCTTCTATATTTCAATCGGACAACAGTCATGAATTTTCTAATCAAATTGTTTCTAATTTATGTATATTTAATCGGGTTGTATTTTTATTTTGTCGATTAGAGGCTCTTATATGTTTCTCGGTACATAAATGCGGAGTGACACTGAAACGTTTTTCATAATTTTCTTTAACTCGCATATCTTACAAAATAATACACTCCCGTCGAACGCGAGAAAATGTTCACCGAATTCAGTAACGTAGTTTTTACCTCTATTGATAGCTGATATTTTTACTTTCGGCATTTTAACACAATTCAATCAAAAAAGACGGACACTCGATATTACCTCACGGAACACGTCAAACAACATAAACGATAAATCCAGAACTGACTACAATCAATAATTTTACAAGAAGGCGAAGTCTTATCTAACGATAAGTATCATTATCGTGATGGAAAATATTAAAACTTTTCTAAAAATAAACATATTGTCCATTAGCCGTTGTCGGACCGTCGTCGTGGTCTTGCGGTTATTTTATTTATTAATAGGTCATTTAAAAATAATTTATTTTGTCAATTACATAATATTTGACTCTAATATGCAGTTAATAACAAAAGATTGTAAAATATGCAATTATATGCAAAATAAAATGTTATATTTGGATTTGTATAAGTATAATTCACATTTATAGCTGATCTAGCAATTTTTCAGTAAAACCATGCAAATGCATGAACTTCCGGGCCCTACTTATATATTTATGAAGATTAAACCAAAATCTTTCTATACGTAGACATAGTGATTATTGATTAATAAACGATTATGTGAATAGTTAACCCAATCTCCATATTGTTTCTTTGAGCTTATTTATTTTATTCCTATTGAAGACTCCATTACCGTCTAAATTATCATCCAAATCAAATATAAAAAACTTGGCCACTCCTACAATACCTGGAAATCCTCCAAGACGTCTGAAGCGTAAGTGGTGTCCAGATCTCTTAAATTAAATTAAATTAAAAAAAAATATATATATATATATATATATATAAATAAATAAATAAATAATTATCAAGGTAGCAGACAGTGCTATTAATGGGTGGCTTCTTTCAACAAACCTCATGACATGTTAACCTTTATCAGATTTTCTTATTGTGTCTAGTATGGATACAGATTGTGAATTACTTTTGAAAAAAAAAAATTCCAATTGGGCTTTTGCATTAAATTTAATGATAATAAATTTAAACATTGAACATAAAATTACAAAGAACAACTGTCTTATCTGCAGTTATTTTATAGCCACCATGAAGTGTGTCTAATGTTAACTGAATTAGCTACTAACCCTCACAAATTGCGAATTAAATACGTCTCGCTTTAATTTAAAATTTCAAGAGGGAGCTATTGAAAATGTGTTTTATAGTTGTAAATTGTAATATGCTTTGTGCAATTTGCACTTACATAGAAGATTACTATTCTGTTAAATAGATATTCGCAATTAATATATAACTTTAATATCGAAGAACCTTAATTTATAAAAATGTTTTTATAATAAAGTTTTTTGTCTCCGAAAGTATAAAAAAATATATTTTATTTTATTGGATAAATTTAAAAATATATAACTTCCAAGTCTGTTAAATAGTTTTAAGTTTAATTTAAAATTCTATGGTACTTCTATTTAAATGAGTTTAATTATGTTTTCCTACAAAGGTTTTTGATTTGATTAAAAATGCAGTCGACTACTGTAAGTTAGTATCTGTTATAGTATCTTAAGTTTTTTCAATTTACAAAAATTGGTTTTACATAATTTGTAAGAAAACATGACTTTAACATTTGTTGTAAAAGAAAAATAATGTGTAATAACTATTATTTTAAGTATGTAATCCAGTTTAAAAAAATATGTTTTACTAAATTAAAATAATGACCATGAATTTTGAATCATAGGTATAGGTAGTTAAATATTTAATGGTTTTTTACTTTCATTGTCAATATAAAAAACAGTTAATTCGTGATTTTCCGTTAGGTTACAGAAATACTTAATATAATACTTACAAAATAAATAACTTAGTGTATCGACTTTGAGTTGTTGACTATCGCTGATGCAGTCTCTCGACTTCATTGTTTAAAAAACAGTTAATTTGAGCGATGAGATGGATTTTAAATCCATCAAATTGTAAACAATAAACTCTTCTGCCACAAACAAGCCTGGATTTGAGTTGTCACAAACAAAGGTTTGGTTCATGTACAATGGGGTAAGCATGGCTTAAATATACAAGGTTATTGCACATAGCCAAATTGTTATCAAATAAAAATAAAATGGCAGCGTAAGGATACGGTCCATATCATAGCATATAATATCATAATATAGCCACTACCTATACGTCGTCCCCTTACGCTGCCATTTTAATTCCTGAACGTGATAAAATGATATAGTGGGGGTACTATTGCAATAACCTTGTATATTTAAGCCATGGGGGTAAGCAGTAGCGGATCCAGAGGTCAACCAAGGGGGGGGGGGCGAATTTTCAAAAATTAAATGACCTTTTTTATATAACCGGAAATTTATTGGAGGCTAAAATTATTTGCATTATTTCACCTATAAAACTAAATAAATACGAAATAAATAAACTTCATAAACAATAAATAAATAAATAAAAGTAATTTATTTTTACTAGTTCGTTTACAAAATCATATCAATACATCTTTTCTTCTCCTTAGCAAACCTGTCAATGATGTCTTCCACATTAAGTTGTATGTCCCTATGAATGTGTAAAAGCGCTGAGCCAGTTAAGCGTTCTTCCCCCATTCGAGACCTCAACCAGGTTTTTAATCTAATAAAATTTAAAGCAACAAGCAAGCAATATAATATAGCTATATAATAACTATTTATAAATTAGAAACTTTAAACTTTAAAATACAAATATATATAATATTATATAACTAAGTATACAGATTATGCATTCATGCTATTACATGCATTGTAAAACATATTTTATTTTAATTTAAAATTATTGAAAATAAGCTAACCTGCGAAGCGTAGAGAAGCTCCTCTCTGCAGAGACTACACTTACAGGCAAAGTGTAAATAGTTATAAGCAACTGTTTAATAGTTGGGTAAATATCACTAGAGCATTCATTTAAATCTAGCATCATTGATACTCCATTACCTAAAAAGCAAGTCACTATAAGTATTTAAGGTATTTACAGGTATAATACTATAATATATAACTCAATAACATTGCAAATAATGAAAAAGATACCTTCAGTTATTAGACGTTTCCATTTTATACACCATAGTTCCAGCTCTGAATTTAAAGTTGAATCACAAACATTTGTGAAACATGAAAAGTGTTTAACAGCTTCACTTATCTGGTTAACCAATTGATTAATATTATTAAAATCTGATATATTTGTTGATACTAATTTCATTAGTGATTGTAGTATTAAATTGTTTGAATTTAGAAACCTATGCTGTAAGTCATCAATTACATTGTCAAGGAGAGGAATGAATACTGTAGTTCTATAATAGTCTTCAAAGCTACTTATTAGCTAATTAGTTGGATTAGGTCGGTTTTTTTGTTTTCCAACAATTCTAGGAACTTTGATTTCAATTTCTAAAAGGTTCATCATACATACACTTTCTTTATATATATTATTAAAGACATCTGTAGCGTTAGAGCGTTTTTCTTTTAAAAGTGATATAATATCTTTAACAATTTCAAAAGCAGATGAAATATCTTGATCTTTTAATTGCAGAATTTTACTTGCATGGTGTGTGACTGATAATATAGATGATAATGAATACATAGAAATAACAAATTCACAGTTTATTGTATTTAAAAATGTATTAGCTTTTGAAGAAGATGTCATATCTTCCCATTCTGAAATACTTGTCAATGATTTTATAATATCAGGTAAACATTTTTGAAACAATAAAATACTATCATGTTTTTCGACCCAACGAGTTTCACAAATACTGATAAGATGATTGCGGTCTTTAAGTGTATTTTTTAGTATGTAATGACGTTTTGCTGATACATTAAAAAATGATATTATTTCTTTCATTGTACCAACACAGTTACGAACACTTTGAACTGTTGAACACTTAGACAATGACAAGTTTAATGCATGGTTATTGCATGGACTGTACAGTGCATTTTTTGCAGTTTCTTGAATTTTTTTTACTGCACCTTTGGTTGTTGATACCATAACTGTACACCCATCAGTAGCTATTCCTATACAATTATTAATATTTAATCCAAATTCAGCCATTATATTAATAATTACAGTTGACCCAAGCATATCACCAGTTATTTTTGGTTCAATTTCAACAGTACCTTCTTCAATTTCTTCGACAGTTTGTCCCTTGTATAAATACTGATGGCAATCAATAAATGCAATGAATCTTTCATATACTTTTTCATCATAAATGTAACGAATAATTAAACTCATTTGAGACATTTTAGAAATATCTGTCGTCTCGTCAAACATTATACTGTAAAATTTAGCCTGTTTTATTTCGTTTAAGATATGCAATGTTATTTCTTTTTTACAAACTTCAATTAATTCATTTTGAATAGTATAGCTAATATATGTAGCTTTAGAATTTGACGTTTTTAAGTGATTTTCTAACCTAGTATCACCTGCTTTTATTCTGAATCTTAACATTTCTCTAAAATTTCCTTCATTCACAATGGACTCTGTCATACGATTTCCATCATCTCTGTGCCCTCTAAATGCAATATTTTGCCTTCCTAAAAATATAATTGTTTCTAATATAGGTTTAAGACGTTCTCGATTTTCTTTTATGATTTTTATTCTTTGTGAATCTAAAATATTCACAACAACAGTTTCAGGATTTAAATAAGTTTTTTGAAAGTCAATAGCAAACTGATTACAGTTTTTGTGATACAAATTGCTGTTGTGTCTATCTAAATAACCATCTTTACCAGTTAATTTTGCAAAACTTTTTAATGGTTCAGTAACAAGGTTTTTCAGTTGCTCAGTATTTCTTCTACCACTTTTTGTTGATACTAAAAATATTACACAGTATTTACAAAATAATCCAGACTTTACATGTGAGTACTCAAGCCAAGGATATTTTTCAAAATGATTTGGTCTTAAAAAACGTTTTTCTTGTTTGCCTTGTTTCAAATGTAGTGAAAATGGATAGGTAAAATCTTTAGGAACATTACAACGTTGAGAATGGAATATTTTGTAAAATCACTCATTTCATTATTCTTATCAATAAAATTACCAATGTCCAATTTATCTACAAAATCAAACACAATATATTGTTAACAATAAATACAATTAGGTACCTCCTAAGTACATTCGAAAATATTGTTTTTTTTCAACACTACACAGATTAGGATATATATTACAAATGAATAATTTATAACCTATGTACCTACTTAGTACATTTGTGTAATTTGTATTGTACAGATATGAAATCGGTTTTTAATTTAGTTGCCACACAAAAATTAAATACATTCAATATAGAAGGTGCACTACTCAGTACTCACCATAATATGTCTGATTATTTTCTAAAATATCATTATTAGTACTTTGTGTAATACAATTAATATTGTCGTCAATAACAGAATTATTTTCGCATACAGGAACGTCAGGAACAACTAAGTAATAAATATGTTTTTATATTGGTGTTTGGTACATAGGTACCTGGTACCTACTTAGTTAATAAATATTTTTTAAGATTTGTTTTACTCAATGTACTCACTTGGTGTACTTGAAGCAGTTGAAATACTGTTGATCTTTTTTAGAATAAATGTGTCCATTGGACCAGATCTTTCTTTACGTTTCATTTTAGTTGTAAGAAAATATATTAAAAACTAAAAATCAACGAGTAACGGTTATGCCATGTTGTAGGTATTTGTCGTTAGTCGATAAATTAATAAGTACTAAGTATAATCACAAAGAAAACTAATGTAAATACCTACCTTTATAAAAATAAAATATTTTAATTGGTATAATCGGCACAATCCATTTCAAATTGTGATAAGCAGGCGAAAACAATAACGGTGGCGATAAGTTGATAACAACACCAGCAGTGCGTGTTCGAGAAGTAGCGTTTCTATATTATTATGAACATTAAACAGGTTAGGAAGAATCATAACGGAGAATGGGGAAAAAAAAATGGGAAATATTTTTACGCAGGCTCATTGTGTGAAATTATTAGTAGTATCCAAACCAATAAAAATATTAGTTTTCACTTTTTCAGCTCAATTTTATGATATAAAAATAACGTAAAAAATACGGGCCAAGGGGGGGGGGCAGTCGCCCACCGCCCCCCCCTCGTATCCGCCACTGGGGGTAAGTACATTTCGATTTTAATTATATTATATTCAATTTTGACTTGTTGTATCATTATTGCATATACAAAGCGCCGTGTTACACAGAATATTTTCTGTCGCTTTTTATATTGTTTGTGATTGACTTTTGTACCTACGTACCCAGCAATGCTAGGCAGTATCGTCTCACATAATCGGATACTATAAACTCTAGGAAGTTTAAAGTCATATCATAATTGTATTAATTAGTATATTATTATTGTGGTAGTGGTACCACCGTCCACCGGTAACTATACATTTTCAATTTGTGTGGTTCTTCCAAGCGATCCTAAGTGTTCCGAGTATAAATCATGCCAAGGTTATCGTGGTGACTATATCAATTGATTATACGACTCAAAAATATTTGCGTTGATAAAAATGTGTGTACCTATTACGTGCGCCGTCCCTGGATCGTTAATGAAATGTCGAGTGATAACTGTATCGAAACGAGGTGATTAACCTCGCGTGATTTTTATTATGATCAAAAACAATAGGTGCGCAGAACGCAACAAATGAAAACGTTATTTCTTAGAAAGTCCAATGCCAAGGACGTTCACTTTCAACATTTTGTCGAGTGACAGATAAGGTAAGACATTGTTCATTATAGAAAACACTAAACTTTTTTGAAAATGTTTCTGTTGTAATATCATTTCAACTAACAACGCTTATGGAAATAAGAAAACAATTTTAAAGTTGTTACTCTTTTGAAGGACAATATACATTTTTAAATTCATGTTCCAGACAAGAAGTTTATTACTCTTAATAATAGTATGTAAAGTATAAGTATACCATATATATATACCAACATTCCTCGAGGTACCCCTATAAGACACCACTGCGCTCATCGGAACTTTATCAACATTTTGAGCACCAAAAAAATTCGAAAAACATTCTGTTTTGGAATGAGAAAATAAAAATAAATTTAAAAATGATAATAAAATAGTTTAAGAAATAATGTTGTTTTTTAACAACTTAAATTTACTTAAAAGTAAAATTTTCTCAACAAAAATACAATTATAAATTTTTTAATAAATAATAGATTATAGATTATTATGGACGTAGCTCGTAGGTACGAATTATTTATTGTATAAGTAAACACATAATATCATGTAACATTCACAAGGGGGGGGACTAGAGCAACTTAACCCCCTTCCCCTACTGTATCAGTGACTTTCCAATTCGTACAAAACAGACATCGTCACGGCACACGACCAAAACAATGATTGTTGGCAATCGTTTTACGGACGAAACTTTTCAAAAAAAAAAAAGGAACATTTTTAGTCTTCGTTATCGAAAAATACGACGACCGACAGTATTGTTTTGCGCTGTCGGCCGATTATCAATGTGCGGACGTCGTGGTATGACGTCAATGAGACCATAACGGAAAACGTAGGTATTACGCAACGATAAAAAAATTAACTCGCCGAGCATTTTTCGATTGTGTTTGATCACGCGTGTATTTCGATATGATCGACATAATAAATATGCAACGCGATAAAAAATTCATAGAAAACAAAAAATAAACCCGTTAGCCAATAATTGTGCCGCGATAACAATAAATATCAATAAAACATAATATAATTAATTATAATACGTATTATAGGTATTGATATTATTCCATTTCCTACGGCCGCGGGTCGGTGGGTTCGCTTATCAAGCCATCGTCGTGGATTCTGCGGGTTTATAGGACGAAGAAATGGTGAGCGGGGACCGACCTACGGACTCCGACCGCCGACCGACAGAGACGAATTTTTTTTTTTAATAAATATTTTCCCAACTAGCGATGGAATAGTTTGGCAGTACCCCGACTATAGTATTAGGTATACATGATTATATTGCCGTTTACGTTGAGTTATTATTTTCCGAGTTCGTTGTTTTGTCGTTGCGTTAGAGCGGGTTGGTAAAATAAGTCGTTTTGAGTGAGAACAAAACCGAGCGACAAAAATATCGATCATTGTAATTCTCGGTTATAATGATAAAACTGTGGTTGTACATTAAGCCTCGAAAGAAAAGTGTGTTTAGCCCTTTTTAATAGCCTGCACATTGTTCTTTAGAAATAAATTAATATTTACAAATGTACTGGTCACTTTTATTTTGAATATTAAATCAAGCAGTGGGCTTAATCAAATCCGGGAATACTCGTGGTCACTTTTGTGCTTGAAATGCAACCATTTGTGTGGCGGATAGAAATCTAGTATTGTTCGGGAAATTGTAAAGTTCTATAATCGTTCCCAATGGTAAACAAAACACAAATCACGAGTGATGGGGTCCTCCATCGGTTTACATATGAATTAATGATATTAATTAATATGATATTAAACATGAAACACGTCTTATTATAGCATGTGGTTATTATTGATGGTCGCTCACGAGTCAACACCAACAAACTCGGTTTTGGGACGTTACAAGAGATCAACAAAATCTAATTCTGTACAGTAGATAGTGTTTCTTATAAGACATCATATCAATCAAAAATGTTGACCAAAAAAGATACCCAATAGGTATTGCATAATAAGTGCCAAAATACAATACAATAGTGTTGAATGTATCGTTTATAAACAACGATAAAAGACACAAGAATAACGTTGAACCGATTACGGCAGCATCGATAAATTAGCACAAAACACTATACTTTTGAAGATTGAGTAAATTGGATTGCACCTTATGTATTTTACAAATACAACACAAAATCAATCAGAGTATAACAGTTTAACAAACTTAATATTATAATTGTGAAAAATTGGTAATTTCAGTTGCTCAATGGTTTTAAACTCTCACCATTCAAGTATCAATGTGAGTAATGTTTAAAAATGTTTAGTTAGAACTTAATACAATATTATAAATTATAGTCGGGTACAACAATAATAATTGATAAAGTATCTTAATTGTAGGCCTATCAACAAAAATACAGTTATCTTAATAATACATTAATAGTATAAATAATTATGATGCATTTTCTATCTTTACAGGTATAATTTCTAACACTTAAAATATTGAAAATAAAACACTCTCGTAAGTGGATGCATTTTTATAAACAAGATTATTTTATTGATTTTGATATTAGATACCCAATAAAATGTACAACATGTTTATTCCATTAGAAAACAGAATAAAGTGACCACAGGGATGGACGGAGACAACATTTTTTAAGCAGGCCAATACATTTTTATTTTTTTTTAATCAGTTTTTTATAGTTAGTTGTAAATATTTACTAGGCCAGATCAATGTGAAATCTCTCATTGTCAAGCCTGGCCAGTTTGCCCCTGTGTATAGTTTCTCGATAACAATGTTATAATATATTCCTAGATTCGATACATTCTTAAATAAGATTTAGGAACATAAAAACAATTAGAAATGTTTACAATATCTAAATTTTATAATTCATCTATTATTAAGATAATAGTAACAATAATAACAATATTAAACAATTGATAAAATAGGTATAACAAAACATTACAAAATGACTTGTTTATTTAACTAAAATCTATAATCAGTCTTGATCTTATGCATTAACATTATAAGACAAATATTTCAACAACAACCCTGTGTTTACATACTCGAGAGATTTCTCAAACCCAAAAGTCAGACTTTATTTCAGCTCTATTTATTATTTCACAATATTAACCATATATAAATTAAATGTTTGGGTTATAATGTCATTAAAATACAACTAATGGGTAACAATTTAATAGTGTTAACTTATGTTTTCTTATGAGAGTAGACTTTTTTCTCACTGTCACTGTCACAGTGTAATGTTGTATCCTGAAGTTTTCGTTTACGTTTCATCATCACTTTAACATGTTTCTTTGAACCCATATGGATGTTGTATTGTATATCATCTGCAATCAAATAAAACTAATTAATCATATGGAAAACAAAAATGTAAAACAGTAAGTTACACGCACACCATAACAGATTTGTTCCAAATCAATTCAACAATAATAATACAATTATTTGTCTTTACTATCATGAAGAATATTTGGAAACAAATGTACAACTGCAAATTACGTGGACAAATGTCAAGTTATAAACTCGATTTGATATATTATTTTAAATGTGCTAGATTTATATGGTTATTAAAATGTTAACTGAGTGAAAAAAAATATAACCTGTTTTCTGCTTTAACTGATAACATTTGTTGATAATATTATTAAATTAATTTTTGACGTCTAACATAGGTCATAAATTATGAGTTAATTATTACATTCATATTATCACATTTGAAAGAGATCATTATAAAAATTTAAAACAATATAGAGTGCAACTACTATTTAATTACTATGAAACAAATCCTCTCCCCTTGCTTGTTCCACTCACAAGTCAATTACAAGTTACTGCTCACTTAACATACAACTTTTATTCATGATATCACACTATACAATAAAACAGTAAAAGTAGGTACATGCAGTAAGTATCTACGGTAAGACGGTTTTACTAATTTCAACTAGAGTTTAACAAACTCGCTTAATTTATTCATGCACCTATTCATACATATTAAACTATATAATTTAGTTTATTTATAGTCGAGATCATGTTCTCAGACTATAAATATCACACTTAATATTTTACATATATAACAGTTCTATACCACACAAGCTGTTGTCTCGCCTTCGTTTTATCTATCTCGTATACACATAGAAATTTCTCTGCTTACCGCTTCCTGTTTAAAATCTTATACTTACCAAGCTTTAAATTTAAAATTGGTACTCGACGGAAATGAATAAATTAACATGGACAACGGATCTCAGATTGAAAAACAAACATACAAATATTTTGAGTTTACAAGTTTGCACTATAACTAACCCAACAGTATTATTATTACAGGGTGAAAACTGTCCAAAATTGTACTTAAAAAAAAAAAAATGGTTGAAAAAAGTTATCGATGAAGACCAACGCTTGCAAGTAAGACGCTGCACCGGTAAAAACGGGGGGGGGGGAGGGAGGAATAGTCGTTTCGCTGTATAATATAATAGCTATAATCGTTACAACTATTAATGACAGCTATCGACAAAACATGAAATATTTTCAGATTGCCTCTGCTCAACTCTCCCCCCCCCCCACACACACGCGCGCGCGCACAGGCGATCGCGGAGACCGACACTCACTGGAAAACAGTCTGGAACAGTCGTCGCAATAATAGTCGCCGTAGACGGGCAAAACGGTTTTCTGGTCGCTGACGTCGATCGGCTCCAGCGTGTGTTGACCGCGAGGTTTCCGGCCCAGCACGACCTGCGCCAAGTCCACCGCCCGGTCGCTCAGCCGCTGCCACTCCCCGAGGTCGGTACAGTCCAGTCGGTACACAGAGACGGCCTGCAAAGTGCGGAGAAACAAAAAAGGTTAACATCGTGATGGCTAAACCCAAACGGGCATATTAGAAGCTATAAAAGGTTTAGTTTTCGGTATCACTGCAGCAGTGCATAATAATAAGTTCTACACACAAATGTAAAAATCGATATCAACTGTATATAATTATGGCACTAAAAACCTATATAGCGTCTAATCCAGGTCTGAGGAAAATTTCAAGCGCAGTGTTATCTATAATGGATACGCCAAAATGTATTTGGTCTTAGATAATATATATATATATATATATATATATCACATGTAAATCGCGAATCTATTTACGAAACACACACTATGCGTACCTATAAGTATATATCATGGGGAATGCCATAACGGCTCAAAGTCCTACTGTTTTCAAGTCCCCACCAGACTATGGGGTGGAAATTCTTGACTTCGGTTTAAATTTCTAATAAAAGGCTGTTTGATCCACACCGACGTCTTCCTGCCATGATATCCATCTCATCGCTCAAAACCCACGCCGAATAAAATCAAAAAAAATTGTCCTTACTCATTATAAAATGAAGGCAGATAATATTATGCACAAAAAACCTACTATAATTTATGGTACATATTATTATGCTGCAATGATTTCTAAAAAATTACCAAATTTAGTCCATAAAGTAGAATGCCTTGAAAAAAAAAACAATTCTCAAGCGATAATGCGATATTTTAAAACCAATAAGTTTAATATCAAATAATAGGTACTTAACATAATATAGGTAATAAATTATGATTACAGTTAAGTCGTGATAACTCGAACCTCAATAACTCGAAAAACTTGAAAAACTAAATTTTTTTTCTCTCCCTTGAAATTTTCGTAACACTCAACGTATTATTATAATCTCGTTAACTCAAAGATAAAATTATGATTTATAGCTAAGTCAAAGCAAAAAAAGTATAGGTATTAATATAAACTACTTAGGTACCTATAGGTATAAATAGTAATATATCAATGAGATTCCGAATATTATGAAAAAGACAACACCCAAAGAAAAAAATCAAATATTATTTCGGCGACCTGAGCAATGTCATCTTGACAAATTGTTAGTTAAATGTTGTTGATTCTGCCCAGGTGTCTGAAAATGCTTCTATATTCGAAACAGCCGCAGGAAAATACGACGATGTATTCGTCAAACATTAATAGCCAAATAATTTTCTAATGAAACCACTGAGTCTCTTTTAAATTGTTATTACCATACAGTGTTTTATAATGAAATTGTATTATACTTAAGTAATATGTACAGTACTTATCATTTTTTAACGCAATTCACATAACCAGCAATTATAATACAGTGTTGAAAATTCTATTTCATTGTAATACACAAAATGTTGACTTAATTTTGATAAGTTCGAGTTGACTATCCAGAAAAAAAAGATGTCTTATCAATTTTCAACTACTTAATGAATATGTCGAAAATTGACTGTGTTTACATAATTTTTTTTAGTTAATACATTTTTCAAGATAAAATATATATTTATTTACCAACGCTCATATCAACCTAACCTCGTGGCAGAAAAATTATGCTCAGGAGGTTGTATAGATGATGGAAAAATAACATAATATAATATTACAAAGTATACAGATCCCCGACGCCATCACTGAGCACCTATATGTCCTATCTACAAGGGACAAATTACGACGAGCGCGCGCGTTATTGTTACACATTTTAAGTTTCGCCGTGTCACCTGCTTGTCGCTGGGCTTGAGGAAACGGTTGTTGATCCACCGGATCTGCCGTCTGGCGTACTTTTTGGTCATGTACTTCATGGCGACCAGCGCGTCCTCCAGACACTTGCGGCCAGCCTCGGTGTCACGACCGTCGACCGGCAACTCCAGGTACTGCTGGAACTGTTTCAGACCGATGCACTGCAACACGCCCTTCGTAAAGTCCAAATCGAAGCTGAAACGCATCACATCACGAAAACCGATTAATAACCCGTACACAAAATATATTTTATTATTGTATATGATGGTATGACGTACAAAAAAAAAAAAAAAACTACGATAGTAAAATAATTTGAAAAGCAACGAAAAAAAAATAAATAACTCGCCGGATCGTGTTAACACTCATTACACGTTGATAATACGTCGAGAACATTTACAATACTTAAAATGAAAAAATTCGCTCTAACCGGTTTGCGCCACGAGCGGAATACGAATGTATAAAACAGTATGTATATATAGGTACACATAATAATACTATAGGAGACGTCATACGCTATACATTGTGTGCACTGCAAAGTTCTTTCAATATATATATATATATATATATATACAAATATAATAACGTCGTGAGTCGTACTACAGCGTGCGGTATTATGACGTGTATAGTGCATATACCCCATAAATCGCATTTGTTTAATGTTTATAAAACGCTTTGCGTATAATGTATATGCCCTCAAACGGTTATTATTCGCATAGTTGGATAAATACTGCAGCTAGGGGGTTTTATATGGCACAGCATATAAGTATATATAATATACTAACACGTATTATTATAATAGGTTTTTTTTTTCGTCTGCGATTATACATTTTCGGACTTGGGTTAGATATGCTAGCTAGCCAAGCTATCCTTACCTCTCACAGATGTACTTACAAACCGATACTAGTCTAACCCTAAATCATGTACAGGAATACTCAGCCCAGTGCTCATTCGTACGCCACGACAGTAGTCGCGTTGTAGTGCTTAGATATTATAATAATATAATAATGACCATAAACCGAACATATAATAATTATAATTTATATACACTCAAACAAATAGAAATATATGTGTGTGTGTGTGTGTGTGTGTGTGTCCGGAAGTAATAAATCGTTCGTCGGACGCGCTCACAGTTTGTTTTGAATATTATATGGTCCAAACAGATCGTTACGTTATATATACGAGTAAATATGCTTGTACAAAGCTGCATAATAGCAACAAGACGATATACACATAAAATACTAGCCGTATAATGTACTTAAATAATTCATAACAAATAAATTGGTGACGTCAAGAAATTTAGAGGTTTGGAAATTCTCTCCCACCCAGTGGAAACCGAAAGAAGAATCAACGTAAAAAAATGAATAAGATTGTATCGAACGATGTGATGATATACGTACACATTTCAAACACGCCTATATACGTACGTATTATAATATTTTGTAGCGACAATTCGGCGATAAATCTCAGTTACCGAAACGACCAGTAAATGACCTTTGCAAAGGCAACCACGGCATATGACGATGTTATGTTATACAATTTTATGATATATTATATTATTTCACACAGTGTATGTCAGCAGGTTTACCGTCATGTGCACATATGTTTAGATGTATACGCAGCAAATATTTATGTGTGCAAACAAACGTGGGTATATGATACAGACACGCTCCCTAGAAATCAAACTTTTGGGGATGTATCATGCGGAATTACGTGGTCGTAATATTATGTAACACTTGGAAAAGTAAATACAAAAAGTACCTTATATTATGACTTATGAGACGTCATTGGGTACTTTATTTGATTCGGAGAGACCGTGTCTGTTCGTAAAATCATCGTAAAGGCGTGCACAGACTCTAATAAATCAAGTAGCATCTAAGATAAAGTTATCCTAGTTCTTTATTTTATCAGCCACCGATATTTTTTATAATATTTTTAACCAATATTTTCGATTTATATATATTAATATTATACATAATCCACCACCCCTGCTATACAAGCTATATAATATGTATAGGTATCTTATATTTAAATTGGATTTAATTGATTTTAGAGTTTCGTTCATTTTTCTCGCGGTGTATACTCTTTAATGTTTTTTTTTAAAACCAAGTATATACACTATTATAAATAAACGACTGCGAGTTCGGAATATTCGTTTTAACTGTTTACGATGGAGTTATATTGTAGTCCATAGCGGTACCTAGGCATAATATAAACGAATGACGAGACGACTTACTTGTGTGTACCGGTCATTTTGGAAAGTTCTCTTTTGAACTGACTAAGCTCGTCGACCAATCCACGTTCGACCATCTCGTCGGTGCGTTCTTCAAGCCGTTTGTTCAATACGTCCTGGAAAAAATAAAAATACAATAAATATAAACGGCGAATAAAATGAGACACACATAAAACACGTTTCCGAACAAAATATCATACAGAAAGAAAAAATACGACATTTCGATCATAATATAGCATAGATAGCTGGTAGCATAGGTACACAAGAGATTTGTCCGCCTTTTCGCACAATTATTATTATCATCGCCGACCGGCGGAGAGTCATTGAACCAGTTATTATATTATTTTCCTTACACACACGCACACACACCACCACCGCCGCCGTAAATGATTAACTGCCCCGGCAACTATAAAGCCCGGCGCGTTTGAATTATTCATTTAGAGCACATACTTTCACGGTTAATCCGCTGGCCGTCTGTTTATTATAAATATGTATCGTCGCGTTTACGTTCATATATATGTATATGACGTATAGTCCAGAAAAGCGGACGGAGTGCTTTCACCACTATTGCACACTATACCTATATATAATATTATATACGCGAGCATAAAGCAGAGTCTAGGTAATCCTACATATATGGCACCGGAGTGCAAGAGCTTCTGTATCACAGCTGTACATACTATTTTCGGGTCGTCGAATTTGTCGGATATTATCGGAGTTGATAAAAAAAAAATATATAAATTGTTTTTTTCATATTATACCGCGATATCATATTATGCAACGTCAATCTGCTGGACAAAAAGTGCACTATACACTGCGGAACTCCATTATTACATTACAATATATATATACACACATAGTACCTATGCACATTATATGGGAAAACATCCTCCCGTTGTGCAGTCGATAAACGAAACAGCAGTATAGATAACTCGTCAATTTTTAATTTCAATCTATCCCTCCAGTTCTATCATCTTTATATTAAACCTATACTATATTATGGTTTTAAATATAAAACTTAGAAATTTCCGGCACGTGAATTTCCCCCCCCCCCCTCGAAACCCGCGAAGCCACCATATTCTAAAACGTCCGCAGATGTTTGACAAACATCGAAGTATTTGCGTTAATGTCTTCCGAGCAGTGTATTATAGGTTCCAATACACCAACAGTTTTATGTATGTTATTGGCATTTTTAGATTTTTGAAGGACGCACTCTTTACCGTAAAACAAGTAGTGTGTAAATTTTTTGTTTTTTTATATTTAATCGATTTATATATATTTTATAAAATCGATTGACGTTGTCGAACAAACATTTATCAATTTTAATTAAGCTTTCGATGTACATACAATATATGCACATCGATGACCGCATAACCTCCCGAAACAGACATCAAAGCGGCGCAACTCTTTCTGTAGCATATACGTACCTATATTATTAAACGCATTAAGTTACGCACATTTTAACTTTCAAATTATCTATAGTGACGTTTGGGGGAGGTGTTTTTTTCAAGCCCTCTGATACAAGAACACCAAACACACCACACTGAGAACGTTGCATTATTGCCACGACGTCGGCAACGTAAGGGTGACCGTACAAGAATACACAATATATTAAAAACGAGGATTAGTATACTACGTATATCAAACGTCATCCGACAAAACAAATACTAAAAACTTAGGGGATATAACGCAAAAACGGTAATCCCCTCAAAAATTGCTTTTCGATAATACATAGTAAGTACATATATTGACCCTCTTCCGAGCCCGACTTTGCTCCTATATAATGAGATTGTGGTTGGATATTGCGGAAACCAACAGAGTATTTTCGAAGCAGATCTGGGCCGGCAATACTATAATATATAATATTATACAACCATCAATCGTCGGCAGTAAACAGCTGTCCTCGTTTGCTGATCCTCACTTTCAGGACGACGATGGGTATAGGTACACAATATTATCATTACTTTAAAAGCTACACAGTCAAGGCAAATACATATTGGCATCAAGAATATATATATATCAGGAAAATTCCAGCAATGACATTCGCCGCGGGCAGGACTCGCGAGTAAGGAAAACATTCAAACATCATGAACCGTATACGATACTGCTGCGGGAGGAGGACGCCACGGGATACTTTTCACGAAAAATCGACCATATAAAGCAGTAATAATACAATATAAAACGAATGAAATCCTAGAATCTCGCAGAGTTGGAAAAACAATCGGAAAACCGAGTGGACGAGTACGCGGATCCGGGTGTTATTATTGCGCCTTAAGACCGCAGGATATAATGGCAAACCGTTTACATATTTTCATGCCGAGAAAAAAGGACCGACAGGACCGTAGGACAAAATATATTATATACCAGCTATACCGTGGTCGCCGTCCTACGAGTTATTCTACAGTTTCGAGACGCATGTGGCGTGTACCTCTCTCTATACTATATACGGGCTTTTTGGTTGGAAATGTGCGTCCGAATCGGCGCCGTAACTTTGAAAAAAAAAAGGAAAAATAAAAAACCACCGGTCCGGTCACGAAACGAACTCGGCAGAAAACGTGACGAGGCCTTCACTTCTTGTAACACTACCGCGGTCGCGGTGCCGGGGGCTAAGGTGAAATGTCACACGAGTTTTTAAAACTTACTCTGTCGCCACTGCAGAGCCGACACGGTGACGCGACAACTTCTCGACGCACAACTTAATAATTCGATAAAAATAAAATACTTTGGCCGCCGACTCGGTAGAAGGTTTTTCGTTTTTGGCCGCAAGTCCCATGCGCGTCACTACACATCATGTGTTTTGAATTATATTATTATTATGATCATTATTTATTTCGTACGCACAACGGACATATACTATTATTATAATATATTTAATTATACTAGCAGCGTTTCAAAAACCGAAATGACATCGCCGAACAGTTGAAGCAAACGACGGTTCGTGAAGTTTGAAATGTTACAATGTATATTTTTTTTTCTTTATTAAAGCTATCAATATAAAATGATTACAGCTTAATGTATATTATTATGCGGTGCGTTACAAGTAAAGTACCAGAAGAAAACAATAAAGACCATTGCAGTATAATAATAAGGTGACCGAAACAAAATGAATCTAAATTAGTAGATTATGAAAATCGAACAGAGAGTTGCAAAATTTAGACGAGCGACTGTTAGTTGATTTCTTAAACTTAATTTTAATTAATTAAATGTCGCATAAATATTCGAATAAATTACATTTTAAATGTTAATGATTATTATTATTTTACATATTTGATAAAATAGAATCTAATCCAACATATTATTGAAAAAAAATCATAGTTGTGAGCAGAGATAATATCTATACTATGTTATACACAGGTAATATTATTACAAGATTACTATGCATTATTATGATTTATTTTAAGTATCATTTCAATGAAAATAATTATTGTACACACGATTATTAAAACAAAAATTATTTTATTATTGGTTGTTATTTGATTTGTATATTGCCACCTTTTTTCTGGTTCGATTTTAAAACAATCGAAATATCTATTCATCACTACGTCATAGTAATCGCCATCCAAATGAACCGCGGAAGTGCGATAAATTGTACTCCTCTTAACGATGAAAATATTCGCAAATTCGACAATATCTATATCTGGCATTTTATTAATCAGCACAAGTATATTGCGTGGTTCAGGTCAAAAGTCTCCGACTATTGCATACCGACCAGTTTCAGACGTTTTACGATTCATCCCAAATAGTTGGTTGATAACGTTCAGACAGAATAATATTTACAAAAATTCAATCTAATTATTAAATAACGTTTCCCAGTATAAATTAATCAGCTAATCGTTTTCTCTGATTGGACAAATTTCAATATTATTATATAGTAGGTATGTATAGTATTGTGTTATCCACATTTAGGAGGATTTAACAAGCTTTTATTTCTACCTATTTCAATCGAGAAACGGATATAAACGATTCAGAAATACAATCAGATATCTATACATGTACTTATCTATATTATATGTTTAGTAAAATATACATTACAAATAATTTGATACTTTGTTGTACTGTTCCAGAAATCAAAAATATATACGTCACGATAATATTGCGTTATCCGAAATTTTGGTTCAATAGGCTATATTTGAATCTGTGGTTATATTTGCAATCTGGACTGGCTTTTACAGATGTTTTTATACAATTTTTTTGTAATTTCGTAATGACTAATGACCAATAAGTGGGTTATACTTTTTAGTATACAGAAACGGGAGACGACCTCATAAATTACTTTGAAATAGTATTGTATAATTTACAAAATTTACATTTTTTAATTTAAAATATTGTTTAAATATCATATCAAACACATTATAAATGCTTGCGCTGACACCCTCTTGACATGGCGAAAACCCGTTAACTTAGAATATTTTTCTTATGGTTACACCCACCTACACTTATAAGCAATCAGACGCTCGGTTTACTGCGTGCGACCAGAGAACTGGTAAACTATTTGCGTTTGGAAAACCAACTAGCATTGAGTTTCGGTTTAGGACAAATTTTTTACGGACTTTGTCCCGAATCGTTTACACACCGATTCCCGCGTTCAGTATTATAATAACTTTTGCTTTTGCCTTGGATTTCGATCGACCAGATTATTGGTCGAAGATTGTTTTATATATTAGATTAAGAATTTGTTTTTCACACAGCACGAACGAAACAACAAGGCGCTCGCGGTCACCACTTTGACCTAAAACGATACACGTAAACACGTCAACCACTAATCGAATCCCATCTGTATAATTTGATAACATGTAATACACGATTTCCGATCGACTTACATATTATTGTATGGCAGCGCACCGAAAGAGCGGTCGGATATCTGACAATAGCAATCAGTGATTATAGGATAAGAAAATGTCAATAAAAATTTATCGGTAATAATCGCTATAATATCATTATGTGTGGCACTCGAGTAAACCAGAAATCATTATCAGCTGAAATTGCTTACATTTTCTTCAGTTCCGAGTACTAGTGCGATGCGACACCCCAAAACATGTTCGTAGATTTCGATAGTCCACCGCAATAATACAGTATATCGTACGCGATTATAACATACAACACATAATAATAAAAT